CTCATCCATTGACAACTTGCATCATTTGCTCAGTGCTATATTAAACAGTGTATTGGAAGATGGATTAACTAATAGCTCCAAGCTTCCTAACAATTTAAATGTAAATTACAAAATGTTTTGAGACCCTACTTTGGAATACAAAGGGTGTTTGAGTTCCAGTTTCCATTCTCTGTAGAACAAGAACAGGTCATTCCTTTATTTATTTATTTTTTTATTTATTTTTTTTGCAGAACCGGGGATTGAACTCAGGTCCTTAAGTTTGCCGGGCAAACGCTTATTCTACTGAGCCATCTCCCCGGCCCTGGTCATTCCTTTATTGACCTGCATAAAATACATCACATTTTCTGTTCTGCTGATGCTATCAATTCAATACCAATTCTATTCTCCAGCCACATCAGTTATGAGCATAAAGTATATCACATAACCTCAAATCTCTAACCGTGGAAGGCTTAACAAGAATGGATGCTGCTAGAGTAATGCTGCTTACTTGCTGAGATCACCAAGCATCCATCCCCCACTCAGATGACTTCTTCAGCAGTTAGAGCTGTGAGGAATGCTTTAGTCTCATAACCAAGTTAGAGTGAAGACATTGGCCACATAATACGCATGCTCCATTTTTTAAAAAAATTCTGAATCTTGGGCAAGTGTTCTCTTGTAACTACTTTACAGTTTCTAAAAGCAGTTATTGTCCAAAGCTGGAAGAACTTAAGTCTTCTCAGATGAGCATGTGAATGAATGGAGGGAGGTAAATAAAATTTAAAAAAAGATGAGGTCTGATAGAGGAGCAGCAGGATAAGAAAATCAAAAAAGGAACAGCAATTTAAAGTTTATCCCAGCTATAATGCAGGTTATTCTGATTATAAGGTAGCATCACAGGGCATACTTCCGAGTCCATTCTCGAGATATTCCGTTGTACTTGTCTCTGTCTGTTTTATAGATCCGTGCAGTCTCTGGCACTAGGGGGTCATCTGGGTTTGGATCACACAGCAGTGAACAAACGGATAAAAGAACTTTAGAAATAGTTAAAGCAGGAGAGCACTGTGCTCTTAGAATATCAAGACAAATGCTGCCATTACTGTTAATATTTGGATGATAAATTCTTGTTGTAAATGCAGCCTTAGGAGGTTTGAAGGGGTAGTCTGTTGGAAAATGAATTGTCAAAAAGAGGGGCTGGTGAGATGGCTCAGTGGTCTAAAGCACCTACTTAGAACAAGCTTAGCAAAGCACAGGGACCACGGTTCAATCCCCCAGCACCACATGCCA